CATTTTGTTTTGAAAAACACAAGAAAGCTAGCCTGAGTTCAAGTCTGAAATATTCAGAAAAATCCTACTAATATCTTTAGTATGTTCCAGTCATTTGTTTAAACAACACACTAAAAGTTAATATATATTTTTATAATTATAAAAGTTCCCCAGTTATTGTACAGTACACAATACAAATCGCCCACAAACTATTATTTAGCTCCTGCCAATTTTGAGAGGACATGATATACTAAAAGATTTAGCATTTCTCACAAAAATCACATCAGGAAATACGTATTTACAAAATCAAATACATTATACAAAAAACCATCACATGTTATTCGGTAAAGATGTTTTTAAATAATTAAAAAGTTTATTCAACTGTAGTCCAAAAACTGGAAAAGAACATTACATTATCTCACACATACAATCTCTACAAAAGTTGCTTACCTCATTTACATAATATATTCAGTCGATTGTAAAATAAATGTTCAAATATCTCCTAGTGTTACTATGTTTCTGTGCTTGTGGGACTGAATAATGTAATCTGCCACTTACTAAGTGAAATTTAAATGATGGCACTTAAAAAAAAATACAGTATTTTAAAAAAACACAATGAAAGAAGTTTTACCTAGAAGGTACGAAAGCCCTGAGTGATAGCGGAATTACTGATTGGTAAGCACTACAATTAAACCTAATTAAAAGTTTACCACCCCAGGCACAAATTTCCAAGTTTTCTCAAGGCACTCACTTAAAGTTTCTGTAACCAACGCATTGGTCACCACCATAGGTCCCAATTGATGATGGAGATGAGTAGCGAAAAAAATTTTGCTTTGGTACAAAAGATACTTTTTAAACGAATAAAATTCAATACCTCCTTTATTGGGTCATTTAAAATTGTGGTTAGCAGGTTAAAACAAGGCAATCATTCGTTCAAAACTATTAATTCATTGAAGGAAAAATTTACTCGGTTATTAACAGTCAATGGGAGTTTCAATTTTTTCCTTCCTCCCCCAGAATCAGAATTCTTCCAACAGAGATTTGTTGTCCTCATGATCGAGCTACGTAACAATTCTTACCAAAAGATTTCATTACTCAGGGCTTCCAATCCCAACATCATAATTTATTTAAAAAACAAAGGAAAGTGGGGGGGGGGATAAAGAATCACATACCGGAACCGAATAAAAGAAGAGACAAAACACATTTCTTGAAAATAAGATGTATTACCAATTACCTCAAACAAAAGGAAAAAAAAATCCTAGGCAGTCACTTTGTAAGTGGCTTTTACTATTTAAGTAAAATTGGTAAACTAAACTCAGGTCTACTGGCACGTAAAATCACTAGCAGCAATGATCAGAGCATGCAAACTGAGAAGCATTTACAGTAAATCATCATGAAGAATTCAAAAGAAGAGAGTTAAATTAAAACCCTTTGAGTATTGCATGTTAACACATGAGTAATTTGCATGGTTGGACTTCCTACACTGCCTGAAAAGCAATGTTTTTGCGGCAAACTTGCACTATGCTGTGGATGTCCCTTCACCAGACATCAGAATAGGTTTACACTCTCAGGCGGCGCCAAGCGCATCTGCGACGACACTGCTGTCATGTTCCGGCACGTGGGGGACAAAAAGGGGACAAAGGCACGCAGGGCGTCCCTTGAACCAAGTCGGCAACTGTGTAAGCGGACTGGCATTTGCCCATATCAGAAGCAGTCGTCATGGCATCTCCGGACAGATGAGCTGAGAATGAAATGCTTTGCTCTCTGTTCTACCTACGTCTGAGTTTTTGACAAACTGTGACATAAAGTTTTGGAGCATAGGTAAAATTATGCCCTGTCTGAAATTCCCAAACAATATTGTTTTGTGAGCGATCAAACTCCACATAGCTTCCCTGCCCCCAAAGAGTTCAACTTTTCTTTATCCACTCGAACTCATTTCTTCCTAAGGCTTCGCTTACAACTGTACTTTCTAAAGCTAAATAAAAGAGATCTTTTGTTTTGTTTTGGGGAAAGGACAAAAAAATAAAAATTAAAAAAGAAAGAAAAAGAAATGTAACCCTTTCTTTATCATACCTTTTAAAGGCAATCTAGGTACTTTTCAATGTGCAGAGATCAGTTTCGACATAGGTCAACAGGCCCATGTATCTGTCCTCCTTTTCTAGAGTCATGATGTGATGCTAGAAAAGTTGATTTTTTTCTGTAAACAGTACACTTACTTAGATGGCAGTGAATATTTGGGAATAAATATATCAAGCCCTCTTGAAGAAGAAAATTAAGAGTTGTATATAAAATGCAAGTGTTCAGCATGGAAACACTTTCTCTTCCTACCCGCCCCCCACCCTTTTAAAAAAACAGCATAATTAGACATTTGGATATAGAGTATATTTTACCGGTCTAAGTCTAAATAAATGATCTGAAAGGCTTTTGTCCCCCATTGTATATCTTACAATGCTCAAAGGGTTAATACAAGGCATTACATCAAAGGGGTTTTCTAATACTAGAACTAAGCACTGGAATAATGCTTCTATTCCAGTTTTTTGTGTTTTTTTGTTTTGTTGTGTTTTGTTTTAAAATCAACAAACTTGCAGAAATACTAGGATTCCATTCATTGATTTGTTCTAACCATATACATGGAGGTTGATCTGATCTAGTGACAAGCCCAATTTCCACAGCACTGCATGTCCACCCGTCTCCCCCCGTGTTCCCGTGCTCTCCATCGAAATCAGAAGTTCTGATTTGTCCTGATTTCCCTGTTTTGATAGTTGGTGTTTTTTCACCAAGAATTTGGGGGAGGGAAGGTTCTACCAAGGGTCAATTTGTTGTCTATAACCACTGCCTCAAATTGTACAGAAAGGTGACTTGCCAGAGCTTTTTTTTTTTTTTTTTTTTTTTTTAACTTTCTACTTGAGTCCACACGGGGAGGACCAACATCACAGTGACACACATTTTTTTTTCCTTTTACACTAATGTTTCAAGCACAGCATCATTTTAGACATTTCAAATATACCATCTGAAGAATTTTTTCTTTAATTTGAAAATGCATCACGTTCAGCGCTTCTGGGGAGCGCGCTCACATACAAAGGCTCATGACGACAGCAATGAAAACCGTGGTTCTTCCTGAACGACGTTGACAGCAGATGCCGCAAGAACGTGTTCATTTTGACTCGTCTGCTACAAATCGAAGGCAGTCAGTGTTGCACACTACTAATTTCAGGTACGCAGTGTTAAAACCGTTTTCTAAAATTTACTTTTGTTTTTAAAGTACACCATCTAAAGAGAGGTGCGTGAACCGTGCTATACAGTACAAGAAAAAGCACAAAAAGGAAAAAAGCAGATTTCTGAAAAGGCAGTAAGACTTAAATAGTCAGTCCAAACATGGTTTGGATGAGAATCCTGAAAAAGTGACCAGCCATTTGAGAGCCAAAGAAAAATTTCAAAATTGGGCCCTGTGTTCCAAGGAGGTGGGTCCCCCATTTCACCCCATTGTTCACTGGCTTCATGAATGCAAATCTTCTGGGTACGATTCTCAAAGTATGTATGTGAAGATCAAACCATACCCACGAGACTCAATCCTATTTTACGGAAGTATCTTTTCAGAGACTTAAAAATAGCCAACATGCCTTCATTACATCTTCCACGCTGAAAGTGTAGCACTTGGTCTATGCAGGTACTTTTCATGACTAGTGGGTTTGGTTACAATGTCAAGAAATATTAAGAAGTCCTTACCATGTGTACTTGTCACTTGTCAATAAATCTACTCTGAGAGTATTAGAATCCGTCTTCCTTCGAAAAAGTCAGTTTCAGTGAATGAAACAAATGAAACCAAACATCAAATAAATGCAATAAAGGGGATTGTTCCAATTGCCTCAAATGTACAAATTAGGAGGTTTGATTCTCTCCTCTATCTCATAGTTCAAATTCGAGAGTGGTTGAGATGTCTGTGTCTGATTGTAGAGGTGTTCTTGTCTTACTGTAGACTACAGATCACCGGAAATAGCTCAGACTGTAGATGCTCTTTTGTCTGTTGGTTTGGAACTATCTGTTCTAGTCAAAGATGAATGTTCCTGTGTTCATAAAGGAGATCTGGAGGTTTCTAGTGAGCCAAGCTGAAATGCAGTCCTACTTATTAATTCCTAATCTGTCCTGATGGAGAACAAACCATGAACAATTGGAAGAAATGTTGAATCCTGGAGGGTCCCCAATCCACCTTCCATCACTCTAAATTTGCCCATTGTTATCAGATTCCTCTAATGATACAAATATATCCAACAGTGAACAGTGACAATTAATACATTGAAAATTGTTCAATAAACAAGGTGAATCCAGCAAATACATTTGGTCCAATACAGATAGAGTGGAGTTCTGGGGCTGGTGGACAGGGAGAGGAAAGCAAAAAAGCTTTTCAGAAAGGAGAGTCGAAACAAAGAGTACCTTTTTCATTTTGTGATTTTAATTTTACCTGTAAACGTCCCCTAATGCACAATGAAATAGATATGTGGTCTTTGCAGTGAAGTTGTTTTGTTTGTTTGTTTGCCTTTTTGTGTGTGTAACGGTACAAATTCATCACTTTTGGGGGGGAGGGAAAAAAACGGGACTAGTCATTTCAATGATATTTGGATGAGGTGATGGGAGAATGCCAGTGAAGGCTTACAAATATATGAGATGAGTCATACAAAATTTGAATCCATTTAAAAATTACATCTAGAACATTTAAAGTTTACTTAAGAAACTTTGTTGATCTTAGTTTTGTGAACAGCCTAAGGCAATCGAGCAACCAGAACACCCTACCCGATAAGCCATTTGGTACTTTTAACTTTACAGACTGGCTCACCCTCTACTTTCCAACCCCCCACCCTCACCCCAATAAAACTGGAAAGATAAACATCTTGAGATTAATATAGGCCTCATTAATCATCTGTAAATCATTTTGTGCTTTCTCTCTCTCGCTCTCTCTCTTTTTTTTTTTTTTCTTTTTGGCTTTATGTGTTTATGTATTCATTTCTTTTTGCTGGTCAGCTTCTTAAAAACTACTTAAATGGATCAGTGTGCCGGTTTTTGTGGTTGTTGTGTTGTTGCTGTTAATAACTTGAGTGTTTAAAAGAACCTTGGCTTTTCATGTAAATTCAAATGGGGATGGGTGTATCCTGTCTAGGACCTCACCTGACTTTGAGTTGACCCCTGCCCACCAGCACTTGTGTGCGCTGTGGACACACAGATACCAAGACATGGACGAAAACAAACAAACAAACAAACAAAAAAACACATTTAGACTGAAAAGATGCACTTCGATAAGTACCTGCTTATTTTGTTAACTTTCTTCAATGAGAACTAGATAAAAATGACCTAAAACATGTATGATTTTATGTGACAAGTTGGTAATTAAAACTAGTCTGCTATTCCACACCCTTAAGCAATCTGATTTATAATCAAGTAATATTCAGCTCTATGAACAAAAAGTCCGTTCGTGGTCACTCGGAGAGGGGAATTGATTTTTTTTTCTTTTCTTTCTTTTTTTTCCTCTTTTTGTTTTGCTCTGCTTGCCCTAAATTTCCTTTGAAGCACACGTGACCTGTCCTCACTCCGGGAATCTGAACGTGACAGGTACACCTTGTCAAATGGATCGAAGAGAATTCACATGAACAAAATAAGCCTTACTAAACCGTAGCTTCAGTTCTGTTTTAAGGCACCATGTAATAGCCGAGGTACGATGATCCCTGATGTACATTCTTCAATGGCACTGGTCCATCCGGCCACCTATCCAAATCCTACTGAATTGGGGATAAGCAACAGTGTGGTGTGCCAGTTACACTGCCTTCAGGTTCTGTTTAAAATTTAAATCCACATACTTTAGAAACCAGGAAATATTTTTTGAAGGAAATCACGATATGCAGGTTGCTACATTCCTTGCATTCTATAAATTTTCTTCTATAATAGCAGCATCTTGAACTACTATTAGGAAAAAGACCTGGAATAAAAGAAAGTCATCCAAATGGAATGGTTTCCTGTATGTCCAGCTCAGCATAAGTAGCATGTACACTTAAAAAAAAACAAAAAAAATTAAAAAAAAAAAAAAAGTCAAGTCATTTTTTTTTCAGCTTCAGTATCTAACTATAACAGCCCCACTCAACAGCAGAATGCATCTGTGCAGTGGTCCCAAATACAGAATCAGTAGTCTTTAAACAGAGGAATTGGTATGCAAATAACGGTTAAAATTCAATGTTTAACGGAAGCTTGCATTAATGTGGTTTAATAATTATGTACACAAATTATGTACATATTAGCATAATCTCTTGCAGTTCTGTCATTTACTCCAAACGGATAAATGCACAGCTCAATTTTTCTCCCGAGAAAAAGAGATGACCTTCCCAACCCTCTAGCACTGTAATAAAAATGCTCTGTATTCTCTCTCCATACCAAAGTGTTATCAAAATCCTGTCTTGTGGTTCTGTCCAATGCAAAGCACCTTTCAAAAGCAAATCTGATGCATCTGCTGGCAAATGGGCATGCCTCCAGTGTAAATCAAAGAAATTCATTTCTTTTGATATTTCACAGAAGTGCATCTAATTAAAAACTTACACATGAAATCATACACCAAGACTAACGATCAACAATAAAATATTTTAAGCTACAAAAATGTAGATTACTTTTTAATTATAAGAAAACAAAAACATTGGCATTAAGTGTGGTAAAAATCCTTCTTGACACCTGAAACTAAAGAAGAAAAAAAAAAAAAACTCTTATTATTTAGAAGCAAATGATTTTTTTTTAACGTTAAAAAAAACAAAAACAAAAACAAAGAAAGAAAGACCTGGCAAAATACATACACCCATTCCATTTCACAACTCCAAAAAGGTAATGTTCAGCACAGATAGAATTTGACAACAGTCGACCTTCAGGCTTATTCAATTTTCAACTTAAGCCCAATCTATCAACAGGGGTAATGTTAGCTGGAAAAATACGCTTTAATATTCCTTAAACCGCGGTGTAGGTGTTTCCGGTGGCGCTGCACTGTCTGATAGTCTGAGTACTCGTGACGATGTGCTCGCTGTGGATGGGGTTCAGGAGGCTGGGCTGCACCCCGCTCTCCAGCACCGGCTGCATGCAGCCCACCGGAAACGCCTGGTTCAGCTCGGTCTTCTCTCTTTTGGCTTGGGGTTCCGAGGAGTCGTCCAGTTCTTCATCCATTTCGCTTTCCACTTCGCTGCCTTCGTCTGCACAAACGACACCAAGACCCTGTTACCAGAAGAGTCTCGGCTCCGTGCCTTTCATCGGTACCAACGCTCTATTAGTGCACCTGCAATCCTTTCCAACGTGGCAACAGTAACTGAGTCTTGGCTAGGTTGTGAGTGATACTTTTAAGACTTCTCTTAAGAAGACCTCTGGGATTTCCTGAAGTTTTTGGATTAAGCAGTTGGCTACATTGAGTCATCCTAAAGTAGTCACTTGGGTAGGCTATGCTGCTTTTGGGGAATGAGCTGAAAAATACTAAGGCAGGAAGGGAAGGAGGGAGGAAAGCTCTCCGTTTCCTTCGAAATCTACACTGGGTATCAATTCCGTCTGTGCCCATGTTTATAGAGTGTTGATTCACAAGTAACTACAACACGCAAGGGTGACTTTTCGGTGTCCTTGAATGTTGTAGATGACAATATTAAATAGGCCCTTAAAAATATACTGACTGAGGTAGTACTATCAGAGTAAGAATGTACAATGGATTTCCATTCCTGGCAACACTGCCACTCACTGTTAATAGCGGATATTCATTTCTGGAATTTAAATGTATTAAATAGTCATTGTCACCTTCATATTTTAACATATTTTATGCTAATCAAGACACCATTATAATGGACTACTGTTTCTTTCTTTTTTTCCCCCAGCATGAACCGTTAAAATTCAAATGTACAGTAGAGAGAAAATGCTCACACACAGCCTTACCACATGCAAGGTTCTCCTAGGAAGAGTGTGGAGAACACCTTCCCATCAGTGATAATTTTTAAACAGTGGGGAATAGATTTCTGCCTTAAAAATCTAGAGTTTTTACTTCACCTTCTGCATGTTTTCCTGTTTTTTTTTTTTTTAAGATCAGTTTAAATTTTCATTTGAAATAAAAATTGTTTAGCTGCTCAACTATACCTATACTTAACTAGGAAATGTGGACTTTACGAACATGCAGTGAATGTTTAACAAGTATCTCTTCAATCTCTTCAGTCTTTAGGGAGGTTGGACTCTTTCCGAGAGCTGCTGAACAGAGTTGTACCATGTGGAGCACACGCCTCCAGAAGTCCCGGCTAACAAATGGGCCCTTTGGCTTTTCGTCCCTTATTATTGTTATCTTACTATTGGGGCAAAGCTGGTTCCAGAGAAGAGTGATGAGGAGGAACGGGGCTTCCACACATGGTTGGACACGTTGTGCAGCATGTAATTGCCAGCAGCAGCATCTCCAGAGAAGCATGACTTGTGATTGAAAAAGCTGACATGAGATTTATTGACTAGAAAGGGTGTAACACATTATTGACTAGAAAGGACGTAACACATTATTATAACACAGAAGTGCTCTTAGATGAGGCTCATCTACTTTATCCTGGTACCTTTTCGCCTCTGGAGAATGGACTTTATAATAATAGGGTTTGTTAGAACAAGCACATCCAGAGGGAACGTGGGCTGCAGGGAAAGGGGTACGTCTGGTAGACATTTGCCTCGTGAAGACGGTATAATCAAAACATATTTGTAGGACACATTTTGGGTCTGTTTTTGTATTTGCTTATATATAAACACAAAAACACTGGAATAATCCTCACATTAAATTCTTAATGGTGGTTATCTCCTAGGGTTCTGACTATGAAGATTCACTTGTCATAGTTTCTAAATCTCTGTATTATTTGAAATTTTTATATAGAGCTGAGATGACTTTTATTATCAGGGGGAAAAAATGAAAATTTTCATTCTGTGGAAAAGCCCACAGGAATTCTTGAAGATTTCACATTCAAGCCTCAGGCCCTGACTACGCCAGTTTGGCCATATCTCCAGAAGCACCAGGTCTGGGGGGTGAATGGGACCAGCGGGGCCACCCCAAGGTGAGGATAAATCACACTGCTTCGTGGCTCCCTCTCCATCAACATCTCTGTGCCTAAGAAATAGTGTGAAAATAATAAGAAAGGAGCACTGAAAGGGAAAAAAAAATAATTTCAAGCCAGTAGGTGAGCAAAGAGAGTGGAGAGACCCCTTTCATCCACCATGTCCTGGGTAGAAATGGCAATGGGATAACCGGCTGAACAAACCTAAGAGCTCCAAGGCCACTTCTCTCCACGTCCACTTGTGGGTGATGGGGTTCCTATGGATACGCTCCAAAGCAATCCACCAAAGAGCAAGCCCTCTCTCCAGTTCTAAGGGCCAATTAATGCAATTCCATAGACATTTTATGCCCTCATAAAGACTCAAGGACATCTTCTAGAAACATCCTCAAAGTTATGGAAATCTGGCACACAGAAACTAAAATTAGGTGCTACTGGAGTTGACTGAAGACTTCGCTCTGGTCCAACACCTCACAGAGAGGTCTGGCAGCCATTCAGTGGCCAAGCAGAAGATGCCTGTGCGCTTTGGCACATGGGGTGAAATCCTCAGGTGTGACCCATCAGGCTTCGGTCAGTGCAAGGCAAGGCTGCCTCACGTTGGCCACGGGTTTTAGCACTCACCTTCCTTGATCTGAAGTTACAAACTAGTATCAGCACTAATTCTCCTTCTTGTCACAGGGTTAGCCGTAGAGAGTATATATTTGCGGAGGAATGTCTCTGGACTATTATTTTCTACCCGTCCTGCACAGCTACGATGCCTATTACTAAAACAGGAATTAATGCCTGCTCCACTGGTCATAGAGACAGACAGTGGGGCTTAACATGGGAGTGAGACGGATTCCTTAGGATTTCCACCAGGACGTTCACGTTTTCCACCATCGAGGAGGCAAGGAGGCTGGCCACAAGTACCTCGGTGTAGGAGGCTCCAGAGAACCATGCTGCCCTTCACATACAGATTCCCCAAGCCCTTCCTCAGGCCCGTTTCCCTGCTAGCTGTGGCTCTGTCCCGGAAAGGCTAATTGTATAGTTTTCCCCCACGTGGGCATTCTGTCCTTGACTCCGGAACTCAGTTCCTTAGAACCTCAGGATATCTTTACTTTCTTGGTTTTTTGTTTGTTTATTTGTTTTGGTGGTTTTTGTTTCGTTTTAGGCCTATATTTCCTGCAGTGTTTGTTTATTAAACATTTTACCTTTTTTTTTTTTTTTTTAACCGAGCTGATACTCGTTTGCGTGTTTTAACTGAGGGTGCTTTTTGCTGCATGTGCTCTTCCCCAACCTCATTTCCCCAGAGCCCTGTCCCTTTTACTGTGTGGGTCTGTAGATCCTAAGTTCCTTCCAGAACACGCATCTGAATGCATCTGAATGGCATCTTAGCTGAGTGGCAATGCCGGCTTTATCTGACAAGGGTTCCGGTGATCCTTTTCATCTGTCCCACTGCTGATCTTGCTTTTTTATGGTAAACTTCCTTGCTATCTCTGAGCTGTTTTTCCAGTGAAAAGTATGCATTGGTGAGAAGGTCAGGCCTGAGAAATCTTTCCACCTGCCCCATGGGCCTTCAGTAAAATTTTATCACTTTTCTCCAGGACTCTGGTGGTGATCAGACATAATTTCTTGTTACCTATAATGAACTGTGGGCAAGAGTCATGCAGAGTTTGTAGCTGCATTTAAATTCAATTCTTATATTTAATATCCTTCCCATAAAGAAGGCACAGAAATGGAGAAGTAAACAACGAGGATTTCAAGAGACATAACTGTCCTATTCCTGTAGGGTTATCAGCCATTTCCACAGAATAACACATGCCACATTTTCCCCTATGGGAATTTCTCAAAGAAGTCCTTAGAAATGTGCATTATTTTCACTTCTTACCTTTATCCAGATTTCCAGGAGACACAGCATTTAAATCACCAAACTGTAAAACAACAGTCATTTGGGCAACAGTTACTACCAGGTAGAATAAAATCATATTCTATGAGTCTGTGGTACAAACACGAGGAGGACGTTTTAAAACTGTAAACCAGTGACCGTTTTGATCTCTAACTACCTGGGTCACCTAATTGTCCAATCAAACCTGTCGAATTTAAACAGTTGAAATTGTGTCACAATTTAGCTGTCCTGACCTCTTTGCAAAGGATAACAATTTTCTCTGTCTTCCACACTCCATTTTACTTTTTATTATTATTTCCCACTTAGTAGTAAGGAAATGGGGGCTTGGCTGGCCTGGAGAAATTGGGAGGTGGTGGGATAAATTCGGAAATCTGGTGAAGCAGGACATGTCAGCTCCATCGCCGAAGGGCAGTCTAAAAGTTACCCCCTGGAGCCAGGTGGGGGGCGGCCACATGACAGAACTTGGTCCAGCCACTTGGCTGAACTCTCTCTTTAAAAGCTTTCACTAGTGGAAATGAAAAACAGTGGGAACGCCAAAATTCAGAGTATTTATTTTTTAAAAGCCTTTGAGACTTCTTGTATAATAATTTGATGTTCTTATTTACTAAGATGTCAGGGTCCCGTTTTAAACAAGAAAAACATCTGCTTATTAGTAATGCAACAAAAAAGAGCTTAAACAATGTGGAACAATTAATAACCTTCAGCTTAGATTTTATTTTCTATTCTGGTTCAAAAGCTTAATGATATTTTTACCATGAGGAAATGGATTTTGAGAGTCTCAGAGAGAACAAAAATGGATCATCTTAAAAAAAAAAAAAAGGGAATAGCAGAGGTAACCAAGTTGATGAGAAAAAGGTAAGGAGAAACCTCAAAGCATCCACTTTTTAAATGGAGAACATTACTGTTTTAAAAGCTGAAGATTCAGAATAAGTCATTATAGAAATTCAGAGTTCTCAAGAGGCTTAGAAAGAGAGAGAGAGAAATTCTACTTACTTCAGAAGTTTGCTTATAAAGAGTTCCATGATAGGAGTATTTTTTTCATCTACAAGGTATGTCTACAAAGTAATAAAACTGATCTTATTTTGCAAACACATTTTTTTTTAAAAAAAACCTACACATGTATTGTTCTTCCTAGTAGCTACCTTGGGAGCTTAGACATTTGTTCCAAGGTCCAAGGTTCTTGAATGCCTCTTTAACAATCAATTTCAAGAGTTAGCTTATGTACCATTCAAGAAAGCCCATTCTGTTATTTTATACCCAATTGGGACTGCAAATAACACTCCAAATTGTACTGATTTTCCTTGATCCTGGGATGATTTCTGACTACTCAACAAAATCAAATTCACCTCTGTCACGATCCCAGGATATTTAAAATAATATGTCATTTTACTCTATTATTTCCCAGCAGTTCAGAGGCAGTTTAAAAAGAAACATGCCACAACATTTTAAGCTACCGGAGCATGACTGGAACAAATGTGCAGCTTTCCCCAGGTGACTGTTTTCAAGGGGACAAGGGCCTCCTGGATCCATAACTCCTAGAACGTTTTTTGGAAAAACTGTCCCATTACTTTACAGTTACATCCCAGTGGGCAACAAATACGAAATCATAAATACTGAGCTGCTCTTTCGATGCTGCTCCTGATCACTTGGCTCAGAACCTTATGTTAATCTAAATAAAAGTCACAGTTTAAATTATGTAAAATTTCTTGAATTAAAGAATGCAAGTGACAACAACAACCAAAATCAATGGGACTCTATTTTTGGTATTACTTAAATATTTTAGAACTATAAACAGAGAATACTCGAAGTTGAAAGATCCTGTATAAGTTACATCTAAGTGAGGCAACACACTAAGATTCGTGTTTCTTTTAAATGAACACTTCAGAGCACTTAAGATCAATCCTGGAAATGAGCTGGCAAGTGCTGAGTCTTAAACATTCCTCTATACCTGGAAAACGTGAGCATTCCATTTGTTTTTGGAAGAAATCTCAAGATGTTGTTTGAGACTAAATTCTTATTGCCATTAGCGATCAGTAATGTCACACAAAACGGCTAAAACCAAATTCTAGACCTACTTGGAAGTCGCCTTCAAAAGAAACTCTTTTGGTTGCTATTTAACTGCAAATATGGTGACTTCCTTAATACAAAGGTCTTCCTTTGAACGTTTCTGCTTAATGTGAATGAAAACATTTGATTACTCGGGATGCTAAAAATAAAAAACCCACCATGATCAACATGTCATTGACTGCTAACACTGTGAGTAAATAAATATTTGCACGCTCCATACTTTGTCCTTGTGGCTACGCCCTATGCTGGACACGGAACAGGCAATCTCGGGGACACCGTCAATGTCTCTAGGTGTTTCTGGGATCAATTACAAAGTTGCACGTGTACGGCAAAGATGGTAGATTTAAAATAAAAATATTGTGTCTAAGGTAAGATTCTGATACCCTCTGTAGCAGAAGGTGAAGGCTTTCATATGCATTTCACATGTGAGGAAAGAATACACCTGTGACTAAGGAAAACTCACTTTACTCCCACTGGTAGGCTAAGATTAGGAGAGTCCGTTCCTTCCCTTGTTGTTCAACCAGCATCCACTGGGAGCTGACCAGATGCCAGCCAACCATTGTGCTAGCCAGTTCCAGGCGGTCAATTTGGAAGTATTTCCTCTTTCTAGAGGTGAGTAACAGAAGTTGTTTATATCACAAAGGACCAGGTAGTTTAGCCACAAAATGAGGCAAGCTTTGAGAAAGTTTTGGAAGCGTGGGCGTATGAGAAAGGGAAGTCAACTGTGGGGGCTTTGGATGGGGCAGCAGGAGGGAAGGACATCAATGGTGGCCAGGAAGACTAGGAGAGGACATAAGGAAGACAGTGTCACCAACGGGGGACAGACAACAAGCACTGAGATAACGCTAGCACAAACCAGACAAAAGAGAAGGAAGAGATCTAAGATCTGGATGAACGAAATGGAGGCTCAGGAGAAAATAAAGGCTGACTGGATAGCAGATGAATGAATTTGTTTCCTCATTTCAGCCTCAGCAAAACGTAAGAATTTGGCAAGGCATAGAGTTGAGATTGAATCTTGAGGTTGTTAAAAACAATGTATTGATTTGTCTAACATTTGTAGGAAATGTGGTGGTGGGAGATGTGAGACCAGATATTCTTGACCCTCATTTTAGGAATTTAAGGTCGGGAAGGGAAAAAGAAGGGGTGGGGAGGAAAACAGAGAGAGAGACAGACAGACAGAAAGGGAGAGCGAGAAGGAGAGAGTATGTCTGTTCTATACATGGAGGAAAGAGTATACATTAGGGGATTTAAAATGTGCTCTGGGGTTAGAAAGCATACGGCTTTTTGATGTAGGTAGGAATCCATATTCTACAGATAGATCGGGGATGTTCTGAAGTAGAAACGGAATGGAACATAGAGGAAGCGTATTTGCTATTTTGGGAAGAAAAACCTCGTTTTCCAGAAACCATTTCCTCCAGGTCCCTAAAGGGTCCTGAGAAAGCGCGCCCTCCCGGGGACAGCAGACCAACACGTGTGGCAGGAAGTTCTGAAAGACCGCCACCTCGCAAGGAGACCAGTACTGACCGGGATGCACCAGTGGGCAACTGGACGGCGCAGCAAACACAGCGACAGGCAGGACCCTTCCTGGCGAGAGCTCCAGTGCGACCCTGACGTGTGGCCAAGCAGCTGTGGAGCAGCTCCTTACACGCCCATCAGTCTCCCACCCATGAAAGGGTCGGGGCGCTGCTCACCCCAGAGATGCACACCGCAGGCGCCCCCAAAAGACCACTGTGCGCTGGATCCAGGAGCAGTGAACTTCTCCCAGGGAGGGAGGCAAGGCTTGTACTCTGATCTTTGGGAATGAGGACCATGCAGAGGAAGTCCGGGTGCAGACAGCAAGCAGGTGGGAATCCGTGGGGGTCCACAGCGAAAGAGACTAGGGACAGGAGTCAGGGGCCGAAGGAAAGCGTTCAGGGGCTGGGATGAAGATCTCACTCTTGGGGACGCTTTCCCTGCCAGATGGGTTTACCCCATCCTGGGGAGAAAGCATTAGGGAGTCATCCTAACCACACCACCTTGGGTGGCCAGGCAAACACCCCCTCTATAACCTGTGTCCTTCTAGAAGATCTGTGAGTGCATCAGATTTACAGGTAGATACAGATTTATAGACGCGATCACACGCACACACGCAACTGTGCACCCACGTTCCGTTTGCTCATTGAAACAGTAGCTGTCCGCATCGAGAATCACCATGTCCACCAAGCAAGCTACCATGCACAAAAATGCCTAACTGATTTCCCTGGGGGCATCACAAAATAGGACCGTGTACAGTCTAGAACAGGGGTTGGCAAACATTTTTCAGCCAAGGGTCAGACAGCTAACTCCTGTAGTCTTCACGGTCATGTTGCAAATATTCAACTCTGCATTTGTGCTGCATTTCTCATTCACAGACTTTGAATTTTATCTATGACTTTCTACCAGTCTGAAAGGCTCTTACAGAATGCATTGCAAGTTCTAAGCTCGTTGGAATCCCACATGGATACAAAAAGTTTACCAGGACCGCAGAGCTCAAAGTTGTGCGTGACATATATACAGGGAAGTCATTCCAGACAAAAATGGACACTGAAATTGAGGAAACCAAAAGCTACTGGGCCGTGGGGCCAGAATCGCCCTAAGCCTCATGTCCAAATGGAGGCCCAACTCTACTGTTTAGTTAGACACTAAGAAATATGGTATGTACTGGTCTTTGGACAATTTCATGAGGATTAACTCGTGCCACCCAACGGCACCACAGGCAACCCCTAAGCCCTCAGTGGTTCTGTAGGATCTATGCTGCATAGACGCTGGCAGCCAGAGCCGGATGCGGAGATGACGGCAGATGCTTAGCTGAAGGCAGTGACCCCAGTTGGCACATAATACCTAAACTTTACATGTGACCCCAGACATTCCTGCTGACAGGGGAGGGGGCAGCTATGGACAATAGCAGTGGATAGGCCAAAGAGTTGGAAGTTTCTAGAA